GTCAGCATCACCATGATCATCACCATCATCATCACCAACATCATCATCATCATCATCTATGACCATCATCATCATCCGCATCATCATCAGCACTCTCATCAGCATCGTCATCAACATCTTCATCACCATCGTCGTCGTGTGCGTAACCTTCATCATCAACAGCAGCAGCAGCGTCATCACCATCATAATCATCGCATTATCATCATCATCCTCATGCTCGTCCTTATCCTAATCCTCACACTAATCACCATCATCCTGCTTATCATCCTCTCCTCTCTTCATATTCGCTTATGACCTCCCTCCTGCGCCCTCATCACCCCGTGTCCTCCCCTCCTCAACTTAACTCGAACACGACGACGACCACGACGACGACGACGACGACGACGACGACGACGACGACGACGACGACGACGGCGACGACGACGGCGACGACGGCGGCGACGGCGACGGCGACGGCGACGTCGACGGCGACGGCGACGGCGACGACGACGGCGACGGCGACGGCGACGGCGACGGCGACGGCGACGGCGACGGCAACGGCGACGACGACGACGACGACGACGACGACGAGCTGCGTCCTCGATTACCGCGCCGCTGGGCAGCACCGCGGTGGCGGACTGCGGCCTGTGCAGCCGCGCAGGATCCACCACCTGGCGCTGGGGGAGGGGGATGGATCATGAGAGAGGGCGGAGGGCAGGAGGGGTGTCGGTGTGGTCGAGGCTCGAAGTGCGGGGATCGCAGCGTTTGGGAGCCAGCGTCTGGAAACCTCAGGAGGCCTCCAGGGTAACACCGGGGCCTGCAGGAACCTGCGGAGAACCCTGGGGGAGGGCAGCCGAAGGGCGGAGGTCGGAGCAGGGGTGCTCGGATGCTCGGATACTCGGAATGCGGCTCCCGCCAATCCCACGACCCACTACAAACCTCAATCGCAGCCCGCACCTTTCCCAGCCTACAGTCATGGATTCGTACTGCCTTGCGTCGGTGCCGGGGCAACTCGAGAGGTCTGGTGCAGGTGGCCTCTTTACTGGCAGCGATCCCGTCGGACTCTCCTGCTCCTCCCCCCCTTCCTCCTCCCACGCTTCCTCCGCCTCCCCATCCCCTCCGACTACGACGACGACCACGACCACACCCAAGACCACGACCACGACGACGACGAAGACGACGACAGCCACCACGACGACGACCACAACGACGACAGCCCCACCCCGACCCCGATCCCGACCCCGACCCCGACCACGACCACGACCGTGACCATAACCACAACGACGACGACGACGACGACGACGACGACGACGGCGACGACGACGACAACGACGACGACGACACCCACGACGACGACAGCGGGAGCAACGACGTTCTCTACGGCTTGTCGGCCCCAGGGCCGCCCCGCGGTGGGAGGCCAGGCGCTCCACGGCGGCGCGGTCGCTGGAGGGCACGGCGCAGTAGGCCACCCGCCTGGGCGCCTGGCGGGGCGGAGGCGGGGCAGCTCGGCGCGGCACGGGGCAGGCGCCGAGGAGGCAGCCCGAGCGCGGCCGCGCGCGGCCCGGGCGCTCGTGGAAAGAAGGAGAGGAAGCGAGGAGGGCAGAGGGGGAGGCTCCTCCTCCTCCTCCTCCTCCTCCTCCTCCTCCTCCTCCTCCTCCTCCTCCTCCTCCTCCTCCTCCTCCTCCTTCTCCTCGCAGCGCGGGAGGAGGCTCGGCGGCGCGCCGAGGGAAGGGCGGGGGGAGGGCGAGAGGCGGCGTGCCCCCTCCGGACGGCTCGGGGGGAGCCCTCGGCATCCTCGGCTGCCTCGCGAGCCTGCTCCGAGGCCCCGCCGCCTCACGGGGAGGCCCGCCCTCGCCCGCTTCCCCGCCGAGAGGGCAGGAGGAGGCGGGGGGGCGGAGGCGTCAGGAGAACAACAACAACGGAAAGGGAGGAGGCGGGGAGGGGCAGGGGGAAGAGGGGGAGGAGGAGGAGGAGGAGGAGGAGGAGGAGGAGGAGGAGGAGGAGGAGGAGGAGGAGGAGGAGGAGGAGGAGAAGGAGGAGGAGGAGAAGGAGGAGGAGGAGGAGGAGGAGGAGCGGATTATGCTTGAAAGACAGGGGGAGAAGGAGGGAGCGGAAGAAGCTGAAGCACATGACCCGAAGGGGAAGTGAGAGAGGACGCAAGCCAGAGGAAGGCGGAGGGAGGGAGGGAGCACGGGACGCTGCCCGCGGGACGCAGAGGCGCCCGCGGAGGCGCAGGTGGCCTCCGGCGCCTCCAGTCGGTCCCACAGCGTGGCTGCCTCTCTCAGAGCACGCGGTGCTGCAGAACGGCATCGTGGCTGCCAGCCCAGTCGGCTCAGCCATGACGGGGCGAATGGGCTACCTCGTGGCAGGGGGCGCGTTCTGGTCGAGAGTCACGTGCGGCATGCTCTAGGCACAACCCACCCCACCTGAAGCCACAAGCCCACCAGCCCTCCTTGGGCGCGACTGGTTTAGAGCGTCTCCCCTTTTCAAGCCCCTGCTTCCTCTTCGGGGAGGGGGTGACCACTGCTCCCTATTGATAATCACCCCTCCCCCAGGCGACCGGCAGCCAACCCGGACCAATGAGCCCACCCCCAACACCATCCTTTAACAGAACAATGGAAAATGCACATTGCCTCCAAGTCTGGAGCATGCGCGGGTGCCCCGCGACCACTTTGCATTGGTTTTTGACAGGGACGGCGGGGTTCTGGCATATTGCTTGCTGCGCGCAGGCCAACCATCCTTGTCAACAAACAATACAACATACACGTTGGCTCCAGATCTGGAGCATGCGCAGGGTCTCTTTTCTATGAGCTCTCACCTGTTTCACGGCTCCTCAAGGCGTCACCATCTGTCCATCGGTGCTGGTGCTTTGCGCTCCCTGGAGGAGCCGCCCTTCTCGCAGAATGCTCGGCACTTCGCTGCAGGGGGAGTCAAGATCCTGAACTCCTTGGGGCCAGGGCCTCATGCACCTGGGGTCCCTAATGGTTCCCGGTAGCTGGCGCACCTGGCGCGGCTGGAGCACGCGGCACAGTTGGGGCACGTGGCGCATGTGCCGCACCTGGCACGGTTGGGCCTCCAGGATGCCTGGTGCACCTGGAACCCGTGGCGCGCCGGGCATGCGTGGGGTTCCTCAGTGATCTGCTGACACTCGTGTGTTACTATGTTTGGGGAGGGCAGGTGGGAGTGAGCTCGAGCTCGACCGCCTGCTATCTAGGAGGGTAGCTTGACCCCTCCCCCTACCCCCGACCCCTGGACCTGGACGGGAGGACGGCGGGTCGCTAGAGCGACCAAGATGGCCTCGGCGAGAAGGCCAGCATCAGAGGTTGTACAAAAAAAAGGTTGGGGCCACATGTTGGCCTGCTGGGGGGTTATGCTATTTCACTACGGCCCCTCCTTTGATGGATCTCCTCCAAAATGGCCCCAACATGGCGCCCGAGGCTGCCAAGGGTGCCAAATACGGCCCAGAGACGTGCCGCGGAGGCCCCCAAGAGGCCCCAAGAGGCCCCAGAAAAGCACCTAAGACACCCCAAGAGGCCGCCAGGACTGCCAAGATACCCCCAAGACGCACCAAGAGGACACCAAGAAGCTCTCGAAGAGACGTTTGGAGAGACACCAAGAAGAATCCAAGAGACGTCTGGCCTTTTTGCTCGCCCTCCTCCTCATCCTCCTCATCCTCCTCCTGCTCCTCCTCATCCTCCTCCTCCTCCTCTACCCTCCTTTTTGCGTCAAGCCAACCTGAGGTGAAAACCTGTGGCGTTTCCTCCTCCTGCTCCTCCTCCCTTTCCTCCTCTTCCTCGTCCTCCTCCATTCCTTTTCCTTATACAGAACTTTTCCCTGTCGCACCCCGAGGCCGATTTTTAGGGCGGGCCGGGCGTTTCGACTGAGAATTCCTCACCATTTGTGATTCTGAAACTTAAAGAGTGACAACAGCTTCACAGATGGAGGGCGGGTGGTTTTTCAATTTAAAATGTGGCTCTCGCCTTAGCGCTGCGCACATTCGTTTCAAACATTCGCACGAGCTTCACGGATTGAGAGCGGGTCGTTTTCAAAATGTGGCTCTCGCCTTAGCGCCGCGCACCTTCGTTTTGAACATTTGCAAGAGCTTCACGGATAAAAGGCGGGTCGTTTTCGACATGTGGTTTTCGCCTCAGCGCCGCGCACATTCGTTTCAAACATTTGCACAAGATTCACGGATCGAGGGCGGGTCGTCTTCAAAATGCGGTTCCCGCATAAGTGCCACGCACATTCGATTCAAACATTTGCACGAGCTTCAGGGATTGAGGACGGATCGTTTTCAAAGTGTGGCTCTCGCCTTAGCGCCGCGCACATGCATTTCAAACATTTGCAAGAGCTTCACGGATTGATGGCGGGCCGTTTTCAAAATGTGGTTTCGCCTTAGCACCGCGCACATTCGGTTCAAACATTTGCAAGAGCTTCACGGATTGAGGGCGGGTCGTTTTCAAAATGTAGTTCCCGCATAAGCGTTGCGCACATTCGCTTTTAACAGTTGCACGAGCTTCACATGTTCAGGGCGTTTTCTTTTCAAAATGTGGCTCTCGCCGTAGCGCCGCGCACATTCGTTTTCAGAACTTACAAGAGTTTCACGGAACCCCATGATCAACGTACCAGGAATGGTTCGGGAGCAAAAAATAGTTTGATTCGCGGTGTTGAAGTCCCACAAATTGCGTTCTGGCACGAGTCTGGATCGTCAAGATGCAGCAGTCAGGTTGATCCGTAGCGTTGGAATCCCGAGAACAATGTTTTGGCATGCTTCAGCGTCTTCAAGGGCGTCTTCCAACGAGGCAGTTCCCTCAAGGGAAATGAACCGTTGTAGGGGCATATGAAGAGGAAGCTTGGAGGGAGGGTTGATTCCAACACCGTTGATGGCTATTTAGTTTACACTGGTCCTCCTCCTCCTCCTCCTCCTCCTCCTCCTCCTCCTCCTCCTCCTCATCCTCCTCATCCCCCTCATACCCCTCCTCCCCCATCCTCTCCCTCCTCCACCTCCTCTTCCTCCTCCT